AAGAAATCAGGGTTCTGACAGTTATGCGGAATTGAACGAGCAAATTTATTTCTGTTGATGCAGGATAGCTTTTTAATAGTGGTAAAGTTTTGTCCTGAGGTGTTGGAATGCACATTGTGTGTACCAGTTTGTGTGTGTGCAATGTGAAGATCCTGAATCCACATCATGCCATCTACTCTGAAACAGATGTGCCAGGGACCTTTTAGTAATCAAATTCTGCTACTTACACTGAAATTAGAACAAAATATCGTATTTTCCCTGTTGCTTCTTAGTAAAAACTAAAGCTAGGAATTGATGTTTTTTAATTATTTTGTGTCACAATTAAGTGGAATAGAACAGAATTATCTATATTATTACAAGGTCTAATAGAAAAGTTGCTTGAAAAATATGATCTTGTTCTTGTATATAAAGCCTGCATAATAAAATTTTTAAAATAAAATTTTATTTTTATTTCTGTTGAAATACAAAAAGCTTAGAATCAGTATTTATTCGTTATATTTGAAATAGTAATTCAAATCCAGCTGCTTTAATGGAGCCTAATATGAAGCATTTGGCTAAGAATGTTATTTTCAAAGCCTTGATTTACCAAAAATTTAGGGTTTTGTTGTTGTTGTTTGGTACCAGGTCAGATACTTATTATTTACAGTTCTCTTGAAAATACTTTTGTGTATGTATGGATGTGCACACACAGAGGGCATGCATTCCTGGAGCTTAATGGTTGCGGAGACAAGTGCACATTTGTGTTAATGAGATAATTATGAGGCAAGTAACAGTGCCACAGATGTGCGATAGTAGCATGTAATCAAGTTCTGAATGAGAAACACCGTCAAATGCTGTAGTTTCACAAGAGGGGAAGATCACTGGTGGATGCCAGAAAACTGAGTGAAGAATTAAAGTGCGCCTTGGGGAAGCGGATGCGGGAGGCCCTGAGGTGTCAGGGGTGAGAAGCCTGTGCTTGGAGGGTGACGGCTGCTGAGTGCCGGTGGCACACCCTGCGGGGACAGTTCTCCAGCATAGTTATTAACTACTAACCCGCCTAAGAGGAAGTTGGATCAGTAAGAAATTAAATAAATTACCCAACGTCATGTAGCTCTGTAGGGATAAATCTAGGAATCCGACCCAGCCAACCTGAGGCCAGAGACCTCCAGACGCATGCAGTCTTACAGCGGTCATTAGGCACAGTACTGCTGAGTATTTGGAACACGGCTGGTACAAACCGAGGTGTGCTCTAAGGGTAAAATTCACTTTGGATTACCAAGACAATATGAAAAAATAATGAAAGATACCTTAAGTTCACATCATTCAAGGCACAGTTCTCAAATTTATGGACACATTGGGACCTGTAACCTTGGTTGGCGATCGATGAGGTTGATGGAAGAAGGTTATCGGGAGGAGAAGTGTCCAGATAAAGTTCTCTGCATGAGTGATGCCTGTATTAGATGTCCATGTGCTGTTTTTTCAGTATAAGCCATCTCTTCCCCTAAAGAATGTACTTGGCCTGCTTGTGGAATTTGATGGAATGAGAAATAACCCTTTTTAACAGCTGTCGTGATAGACTGGATGTCAGCAGAGTGATTCTCAGCAGCATTTAGGAGGCCATGAAAAGTTTACCACTGGCCCTGAGTAGAAATAGCCACGAGGGCAATGTGCAGTTGCAAGCTGCCATTTGTAAGTCAACTCGATTTATTGTTGTGCATCTATTCATAGTGTTACAAGTACACTTCAGATTCCACAGCAGCCTGCAAAGCACCTTTAACCTAGCTGAACCGTAGTACCTGTTCACCTTCCTTTAACCTGCTTTCTATCCTAACGTCTTTGGGCAGTGTGTTTGTGGGATAGCAGGAAACCCTGATGAAATCCTCTTTCCCCCCGCAGCCAGGGGTGTTAAGAAGGATGTAAACCTCTGGGAACCCAAACCGCTTGTTCAATGTATTTGTCAAGGTCCTTGTCTGGGTGTCGCAGGTTGCTTGCTCTTGTGTCTCCAGCCTTCGCAGTGTCCAGCACACAGGAGCTGCTCTACTCAGTCACTGACTCTGACCTTCCTGAAGGGATTAAATTCTGCGTGGTCTTTTTGATGTTTTAATTTGATACATACAGTTTTAAAAGAGAGTCATGAACTTAATTTCTTGTATACGAGACAGTGCATACTCTGAAGCTATAAATGAGATGACCTAATTGCCTGCCATCGACCCATAATAAAATAGTTGTTTTTGGTGCAGTGGGAAAATGACTAATACTGCCTCATTGAATTAAAATGCCAAAGAACAAATTGTAATTTTCCAAGTTAAAAAAGAAAAAAAAACTTGAAGTCTCAGAATCCGGGGACTGTTCACTCTGAGAATAATAAGAATGCCTTCCTTTTTTTTTTTTGTATGGGGGATCGAACTCAGGACCTTGTGCTTGTGAGGCAAGAGGCAGAAGCACTGAGCCAAATCCCGGCCCAGGAACTCCCTCCTTTTGACCTTCCGTGAGTGCTGCTTGTGGCCTTCTCTCAGCCTCACTCGTGGGCTGTGGGAGGGGCCCACAGCACAGTTCTTGGGCGTGTGTACCATGGCCCTCAGGAAGACCCAGCCTCACGTCCTGAAGCTCCTTCAATTCTCCAGGACCCCTGGTTTCCTCACTAAAGTGGGGTGACCCATGTGAACCGGTCTGTGAAGCATTCGGGCTCCTGGGAACATGCAGTATGGTTCATCGCTGTGTGAGTCTCATCTTTCTGCCTCGGTCTTTTCTTGCTGGTGCTGACCTTTTTTCCAGTTACACTTGAAAATTTGCTAGCCACATTTTATTAGTACATGATTGCACTTATCTCCCTTCCTCATCCCTCTACCTCTAGGTTCCCTCCCATTAGCAAAAGATCTATCTCCCTGTTTCCTGTTGTCTGTCTTTTCTTCTTCTCTTTATTTATTCTTTGGGTTTCTCACATGAAAGAAACCATGCAATATTTAAGCTTATGTATTTGATTTATTTCATTTAACATTACGGTCTCAAGGTGCATCCATTTTCCTACAAATGACTCAAGTTTATCCTTTTTTTATAGCAGAGTAGTACTCCCTTGTGTTGATGGACACATAGGCCACTTCCATGACTTAACTACTATGCATTGTGCTGTTATAAACGTGGATATGCATGTGTCACTGTAATGTGTCTAGAAGGGGAATAGCTGGGTCAGATGGAGTTTCTAATTTTAGTTTTTTGAGGAATCCCCACACTGATATCCACAGTTGGTACTAGTTTACACTCCCACCAGCAGTGTGGAAGGCTGCTTTTCCCTGCGGCCTCATCAGCATTTGTTATTATTTGATTTCCTGGTGATCCCCATCCTTTCTGGGGTGAGATAGAATCTCAGTGATGTTTTAATTTGAGCTTGTCTGATGGCCAGAGATGTTGAACATTTTTCACGTATTTCATGTATGTAGTGTTTTTGTACTTCTGAGAGGTGTCTGTTCATTTCAGTTGCCCATTTTTGGATCTGGTCTTTTATTTTTGTGTGTGTGTTCTAGGTAATGTTCTTTATACGTTCTAGATACTAGCCTTCTGTTGGAGAAGTAGCTGGCAAAGTTTTTTTCTTATTCTGTTGGCTATCTCTTCACTCTGTTGGTCATTTGTTGTGTAGAAGCTTTTTAATTTGACATAATCCTACTTGCTGATTCCTGATGTTACGGAACTTTGTTCAGCAAGTTCTTTCCTGTGCCCATGTCTTCAAGAGTTTTATCTATTTTATGTTCCAGCAGACTGCTTCTGCTTTAATATTTAATCAATCCATTTTGATTTTAGTTTAGTGCATGGTGAGAGATAGGGGTCTTGATTTAATCCTCATGTGGACAGCCAGTTTTCCCAGTACCATTGGCTAAAGAGGCTCTCTTTCTTCCAGTGTATGTTTTCCCTCCTTTGTGACAGTTCAGATGGCTGAATGTTTCTTTATTCTTCCCATTGACCCACATATCTGTTTTTGTGCCAGTACCGTGTTGGTTTTTGTTTGTTTTATCGCAGTAGCTTTGTAATGTAGCTTGAAATCCATATGTGATTGTAATGCCTCTTGCTTTGCTCTTGTTGTCCAGGATTGCTTTTGCTATTCTGGGTCTCTTCTGGTTCCATATAAACTTTTTTTAGGATTTTTTTTTTTTTTTTTTTTTTGGCTAGTACTGTGAGGAATGCTGTTGATATTTTGATTGGAATTCTAGCTGACCCTTCCTTGTCTATGTTCTTGTAGCACTCTATTACACAACTTACCATGTATTGTAGTTACTTTTGTCTGTCTACTATGCAGGATCACAGATTCACTAAGGACAACGAATATATTTGTACTTTTCTTAGCTTCTACTACAAAGTTTGGCACAGATAATTTAACAGAGCATTTGTTAAATTGTTAATTGACTTGTACATGGAGATCTTCTATAAGTTGTGGAGTTTTAATCAAATAGTGCTGTTTTAGGAGTTAGTATATATGTAGCAATGTGCTTGGCATATTTGGAAGTAATTATTTGGCATTTAAGTGCTGTAGTTTAGACTACTACTATAAACTAATTGAGCAGTAGTTGAGTACTAGACTACACATTTTTTATCACTATAATTTATTTCAGCCACTTTTTGAATGAGTATATAAATGAAAGTTCTGTTTGCTGCCACTCCACTATAAGTCATTAAGATCAGTCCCATCTTTTAAATTGATTTCCCCTCAGAATTCTAAAGTTCATTACTTAAATATAGTATTTTATTTCTGTTTTGTATCTGTTATACTTTAATGGTTGAATCTTCATGGCTGGCATTGAGAATGCGCTGTGTTTTATTAGTGCATAAATCTGGAAATTTAGTAGGTCAAATATTTCCTGATTATCACTGTGTGTAGCAAAACCCCAGTGTAATACAATTTACCATTGTTTTCTTCCTTAACATCAGCATTATACAGGGATTGGTTCTGTTGTGTTCAGGGGAAAAAAAAAATCTCTGAACTATTTTAAGCCCTATATTCATGTATGTCCTTTTCATCTCTCCTAAAACAGGTAAATCATCAAACTGGGAAGATGATGGTTGGGGAGCATGGGAAGATGCAGAACTGCCGGAACCTGTAAGTCTTTGTAGAAAGTGTATGCTCCATTTTGACAGTAGTATTTCCCTTGTGCAGTGATGGTGACATATTTCAGTGCTAGGCTGACATTTTGACTCTGACTTTGTAGTGCTTTACAGAAGAAAGAGTGGATTCTCTTTCTCTGGGATCTTAGTGACTGTATACTAAGTGGATGTCTTAGTCCATGCTGTGGCAAAATGATGGAGATTAAATTTCTAGTGAGCAGGAAGGTAATTCATGGTTCTGGGGTCTAAGTCCAAGATGGAGGGGACTGCATTTGGTGAGGCCCTTCTGGCTGTGTCAATCCATGGCAAGACACACAGACAGGGTGAGCCCACGCTGGCCTCCCCTTTACAACAAATCCATTGCTGTGATGAAACTACCCTCTTGATTCTAGCATTAAGCCATTTACACTTCTTCATGGCCTGGGGACCTCTCCCTAGTCCTCTTCTCCCCACACAGTTTCATTTGCAGGTAAGTTTCTAACATGTGCTTTGGGGAGATGTTTGCACCATAGATAGAAGAGAGTTGTTTTAGGATTCTTTATCCTTCTCTTAAGTTACTCTTTTAGACTCTCACTTATCTGTTTAATGAACATTTGGGATGCCTACTATATTGTAGACATTTTTGTAGGTGCTGGGAATAAAGCAATGAAGAAAGTAGACAGTCTTTGTTATGTAGACCATCTATGTCAATGTATTTTCACCTGTGAGCAAATCTAATGAAAGGAGGCTTAAACAAGAAGTTTTATTAACTCACACATACACAGGAGGTCCTGGGTTGGTTGGCCAAGTGGCTCAACTGTCATCTAGTTCTTTCTTCTGTCTGTTTCGATGTCTTTTTTTTTTTTCACAAACATAATGTGACAACATAGTTCTTCATTCATGACCAGCGAGAGAAAAAGATGTGGCTTTTCCATGATGCTTTAAGAAAGGGGAACAACTTCCTTAAAAGCCTGTAATAAACTTTGCCTTACATTTTCTTAGCCCATACTGGGCCATGGGCACATTTCTGAACTGGCAAAGGGAGGGGTTTTTATTGACTCATCGTATCATTTGATTCAGATGGGTCTTATGGTCTCTGATCCCAGGAGCTTACACTCCATTGAGGAGAGAAACATAAAAGGAAACTTGAGAAGTAGCAGATGGTGGTAATAGTTAAACTCAGGGAATTTAAATGATTGTGTGACAGCAAGTGATCACAGGCTGACTGTAGACTGAGTGGAGGTTTTTCAGAGGAAGTGAACTGAGACCAAGAAGACCACACAAAGTCAACAGAGTAAGCACTGGCAGAGAGTGTTTTAGGCTGGAACAGCAGGTCATATATAATAGAATTCCGTCATGCTTTCATCACCCCAAAAGGAAACCACACACACATTAGCAGTTGCTCCCTATTTTCCCCCATTCCCACTCTGTCACTCATCTCCTTTCAGTCTATGGATTTGCCTGTTCTGCATATTCACATAAGTAGATTTTTTTTTTTTTTTTAAAGACTGGCTTCTGCTTACTCATAATCTAGACTTATTTGTGGATTTTCTTATATCTTTTTTTTTCTCATTGGTTTTATTGGTACATTTTAGGTATACAGTTTCATCTTTTGTTTATGGCCTTGGATCCTGTATTAGTCACTTTTCCATTTCTGGATAATAGCTAACATATACAACTTAAAGGAAGAGAAGTTTATTTTTAGCTCACGGTTTCAGAGGTGTCAGTCCATGGCTGGCTGACTGCAAGGCAGGAACATCAAAGTAGAAAGAGATGGTGAGGGAAACTTCACAGCAGCCAGCAATCGGAGCAGGAAGAGCTGGAGACAAGGCACTGGGGACAAGACTATGTTCTTCAGAGCCATGCCCACAGTGACCCGCTTCATCCAGTTAGGCCCCTCCTCCTAAGAAGCCCATTAAGTTAATGAACTTATTGGTGAGTTAACCCACTTGATGAAGTTAGAACTCTTGTGATCCAGTTACTTCCTCAAAGCCCATCAGCTCTGAACTTGTGACTTTTGGGGCCATTTTAGATCTAAACCATAACATTTCACCCCAGCCCCCAAAATTTCATGTCTGTTTTATAATCCAAAATGCATTTGGTCCATCTCCAAAAGTCCCCAAAGTCTTAATAGTTCCAGCATTGCTCAGAAGTCCAAGTCAAAAGTCTCTTCTGAGACTCAAGGCAAACTCTTAGCTGTGAGCCCCTGTAAAATAAATCCAAAAGCAAGTTTCATAATCCTAATATACGGTGGCATTCACAGCTGTACCAGTACTATCAGAAATTTTACTCGGGTATGGTAAAGCTGCTGTTATTTCTACAACTTTAAGGGATTGTGAACACCTCTAGAGGCTTAACCAGCTCCAGAGTCACTGTGGGAATGGAAGTAAATGTTAACAGATGTACAGACACTTGTAAGGGTAACCGACATAGCTGTTTGTAGGGAGGTGAAAGATGGAAAGGAAACTTCCATTGTCTTTTGGTAGGAACACACAGCAAACTGAAAGCCTTCTTTCCCTGAGAGTGGCTGGGGATCGTTCACATTAAAGATGACACCAGGAACGGAAGAAGCGGGGTGTGTTGGGGCCAGCCTGTAGCAGTGTCATGGCATCATCATTGCGAGTATGATGAGGTGTTCTCCATCAGATGCTGTGGAGTTGAGGTCATTCCGACCCCCAGAGGAGAATAAATATTCCTTCTTTGTCAGTCTCACCTAGAGAGTGGCTGCAGTGGTGGGTAGGAAATGCCAGGTGAAGTTGGCAAGGAGTCAGAAGGAGCAGCTGCCACCTGCTGAGTGCTGACCAGAGGCCACCCTGCTGCTAGCAAGTTCAGTGGAAAACTGCAAAAGCTCCAGAATACTTTCTATTCCCTCAGTCTGTTAGCTCTTTGAGAGTTTGCTTCTCAAAGGCTTCAGAGAGTAAAGGGTTTTTGTATCTAGAGAGACTTAGTCCCAGGGGTCTGGATACATCTTTCAAAGAAAGGAAACGTCCCCTTCAGCGTTTCTGATTGCAAAGTATGCACTATAATAGAGGCTTAGTGAAGAAAGCGGATTCCAAATCCAGCAGAGTGGAAGTCACTCTGGGCAGCAGTGGCAACTGCAGCAGCAAAAGGAGTGAATTCAAGCCTTGAAAGATGATGAAGCGGAGACCATGCTGGAATGAAGAAAGCAGCACACACAGGATGGTGAGAAGGAAGAGCAGGGAGACCAGTCAGGCTAGCAAGCAGAGGGGAGCCCCTGGCCTGGACCCACAGGTCACCCCGGGGCTCTGGGCTGCCCCACCCACTCCAGGCTGTAGCACGGCATCCGGGTGTGGGCTGCACCGCAGACTGGAGGACGTACAGCCTGTGTGCCCTGGGGACCGGCTGCCACGTGACTTTGTCTCTTCAGAGATGAACTCAGTCGATGTGGCAGCGTGATGCAGAAAGAAGGAAGGGGTGATGAGGGGTCCCTTGCCTGCAGAGTGGTTGGCCTCGTGTTGCTGGGGACCAGTTTGAGGTTGGGGGGCAGATCTGCAGGGCCTGGTTTGTGTTCCAGGAGGACACTGAAAACATGGGATAGGACTGTCGGACCAAGAGCCACATCCCAGGTGTGGGACTCTGCCTCCGCAGGCACTGAGCCCCTCTCAGGGCCGCTTGGAGCTGGGGGCCACCCTGAAAGGCCAGGGTACAGATGCTGCTGTGCTAGCAGCAATACCTCTGCAGTCAGCCGCAGCAGCGCCTAGTCAACAGGAGGCCAGCGTGTAGAGACTGGACGGGAGAGATCAGGCTCCTGGTCTCTGTGGGTGTGGCTTCCTGCAATCTGCACAGCAAGGTACTCTGTAAGGCAGATCTTCCGCAGGAAGCAAGTTGCACCACCCAAGCTTGCTTTGTCTGTGGAACCTGTCCTTTTCCTGGCATAACCACTGTTCCTAGATGGAGGGCACTGTACTCTGCTTTTTCCTATTAAGGTAATTTCTCTGAGCAATGAAGCCCTTTTCCCTGAAAGGAAAGGGTGGTTTCTTAGTAGGACATCAGTCCTAGGGTAAAGCCTCACCCTCAGGACCTCATTTAATGTTTTTTTTTGGGGGGGGGTTGGTACCAGGGATCGAATGCCAAGGACCTCATTTAGTAAAATTCTCTCCTTATGGGCCATATCTCCAAATAACAGTCCCACTGGGAGTTAGGGCTTTAATATATGTAGATGCCCAAAATACTGATGGACCCATGCCAGGCAGACTTCCACTTAGACAGGTGAAGCGAAAAAGGTTGCAGGAGTCCTACGTGGCCATAAGCAAATGCCTTCAGGGTGGCAAGGCCAGCAGAAAGGCTCTCGAGATGGATTGGGATGGAAGCAAAGGTAGGCAAAGTCCTCCCTCTAAACTAACTGGGTTTTAGGTGCCATCGTGACAAGTTAGTGGGAACTGGGGAAATCGGAAACGAAGGCAGGTACACGCTGTCATCTACTGAATGGTGAGCCTGTAATGAATGATAAATAACTTTGATGTGGTTTTGTTTCATTTTGTTTTGTTTTGATACAGTTATAAGAGCTTTAGGTTGGGCTTATAAATTCTGTTTGCCACAGGAAATGGGTTCTTAGAGTGGAATATTTTGTTCAGCCTCCTTTAAAGGGAACTGAGGTGTGTTGGCAGGAACCTGAAAAGATTCGCTTTATCCTAACTGGGGAGGCAGTCTGAGAGTGTTTCTTCCTCCGTGCAGTACAGCTGAGGGTGGAAGGGTAGAATTGCTGCCCAGTGATGAATGAGTAGTGGTCTCTGGGCCAGGAGGCACAGGGAGGTTCTGGGCAAGACCCGCAGCTTGGAAGTTTGCATTCAAAAGAGTCTTTGAAAATGTGCTGTCCATTTTACCAAAAGTGGCATAATACAGTTTCTGAGGCAGTTACAGCTTAGTGGATTAGCGGAGGATGGAAGTGTTCTGGTCAGATCGAGGCCCCAGATGGATGCCTGTATGTAGGCTGAAAAGAGAAATCACAGCGCGTGATTAAAGGTTATTAGAGCATTCCTAGTCTGGGGTGATGAA